CTGGTCCTTCTGCCTCCTTTTCTGAGTGATAGTGTGATGGGTTGTGTGTCACCACACTGCGTTCATTATTTGACCTTTTTATGAAGTCCTTTGTTTTGTTTTCTCCCTTTTTGTTTTTTAAAATATTCCTTAGTCTACTAATAGTACACTGTCTAGTGGTAAGATGTCATGTTTAATAACTAGAAGAGGAAACAGCAGCTACCCTTGTAAGGGAGCGTCAGGAACACTGAGTACACCTATGATACTTCTGATGGTGTATAACAGAATAAAGTTAATTAGGATTACAATCACACCTGAGTGTAGTTGAAAGTTTTCCTGTGTCCTGCCCAGTCCCACAGCCACTCAGACCCAAATAAACACACAGAGGCTTATATTAATTATAACTGCTTGGCCATTAGCTCAGGCTTATTACTGACTAGCTCTTACACTTAAATTAACCCATAATTCTCATTTATGTTTAGCCATGTGGCTTGGTATCTTTTCTCAGTTTTGCCTTGTCATCTTGCTTCATCTGTGTCTGTCTGGTGACTCCTGATTCAGCCTTTTTCTTCCCAGAATTCTCCTTGTCTGCTTATCCTGCCTATACTTCATGCCTGGCTATTGGCCAATCAGAATTTTATTTATCAACCAATCAGAGCAACACACATTCACAGCATACAGAACAACATCCCACAGCAGCCATCTCTCCAGCCACACATCTTTTTTTTTTTGTCAAAATCTTGTTATATAGTCCTGGCTGGCCTTGAACTTTTAATTATTCTGCCTCTGTATTTCAGCATTCCAAGTACTGCCATGATACTATGAATAGTACAGATATATAATATAGATATGGATACTATATAGTATAGATATCAAATAATCTTGACTGTCTGCACACTTGATTATAGCTGAAGTTTTCCTGGTCCCGCCCTGCTCCCATGGCCCTGTGGTTCCACAGCTGCTCAGATCCAAGTGAACACATAGAGCCTTATTATTTTTAAACTATGGCCATGGCAGACTTCTTGCTAGCTAGCTCTTATAGCCTTATATTATTTTTAAATTATGGCCATGGCAGACTTCTTGCTAGCTAGCTCTTATATCTTACATTAACCAATTTCTTTTCTTTTTTTTTTTTTTTTTTTTGGTTTTTCGAAACAGGGTTTCTCTGTGTAGCTTTGCGCCTTTCCTGGAGCTCACTTGGTAGCCCAGGCTGGCCTCGAACTCACAGAGATCCGCCTGGCTCTGCCTCCCGAGTGCTGGGATTAAAGACGTGCGCCACCAACACCCGGCACATTAACCAATTTCTATGAATCTATATGTTGCCACGTGGCTTGTGGCTTACCGGTACTTTACATCTTGCTTCTCCTGGTGGTGGCTAACAGAGTCTCCTCTGCTCTGTCTTTCTTCTTCCTCTCTGTCTAGTTAGAATGTCCCAACTAACCTTATTCTGCCTCATCATTGGCCAAACAGCTTTATTTGTCAACCAATCAGAGCAACACATATTCACAGCATATGGAATGACATCCTCATTGTTTCTCCTTTTCTTTGGTAGCTAGCAGAGTCTCCCTGCTCTCTTTTTTTTTTCCTCTCTTATCTCTCCAGTTAGAATGTCCCGCCTAACTGTATTCTGTTTCACCATTTGCCAAACAGCGTTATTCATCAAGAAATCAGAGCAACACGTTTTCACAGCATACAGAATGACATCACTTATCACTTGATATTCAAGTTGAGAAACTGACAGTCTTCTTAAGTATAAAATTTGTTTTGTTGTAGGGATATTATGATGAACTTCTTATGTGAAATGTATAATATTTGTCCCCTATAGTACTTATGTACAAAGACTGCACTAGAGCAGATGCTGTGTACACTATGTGCTTCATAAACACAAGAGAGTGAAGAAATATGTGTCTGGGTTTGGGTAAACAGTGATATAAAATGTGAATTCTGTTTTGGTATACTCTGGAAGGTAGATAGAGACAGTTGATAGAAATATAGCAGATAGGTTTCCTTTACTTTAACTCATTAAATATAAAAGTGTTAACTTTGAAATTGTTTAATGACCAGATATGCTATACTTGATTTCTAACTGTGTGAGGTAATTTGGTATTTACAGATTTAAAAAGGAATTGGTAGGCTATCTCAGTAGGTAAAATCACTTGCTTCATAGACCTGATTACCTTCTGACTGTTCAGTCTCTGGATCCCACAAGTAGTGGAGGGAAAGAACCAACTCCTGAAAGTTGTTTTCTGATCTCCACTTGTCTGCCACTCCCCTTCTTCCCCCATGCATATCAATAAAACAAGGTAAAATTTAAGATTATTTCAAAAGGAAATATTTGTTATAGGCTTTGTTTTGTCTTCCTTCCTTCCTTTTTTTTTTTTTTTTTTTTTTTTTAGTATGGGGTCTTTTTCTGTATGCCCAACTGGCCTAGAACTCGCTGTGTAGACCAGGCTGGCCTCAGACTTACAGAGCTCTAACTGACAGGCTTTCATTTGTAATTATTTTATTTTATGCTTTGTTTTATCTTTAGAAAATTGTTTCAGAATATTCCTGGGGGGCTAGAGAGGTGTCTTAGTGATTAAGGGCATTTGCTGTACTTGCAGAGGACCTGGTTTAGTTCCCAGCACCCACTTGGTAGTATACAACTCTCCATAACTCCAAGAAAACCAGAAATTCCTGTGGTATATATACATATATGCAGGCAACACATGCCCATAAAATAAAAAAATATTAAAAAAGAAACTTTGAAGAAAAAAAATTAAAATACTCCTAGGAAATAATTTCTTTCTTTTATTATTTACTTCCCCACCCCTCCATCCCAAGATAGGAATTTCTGTGTAACAGCCTTGGTTGTCTTGGATTGTAGACCAGGCTGGCCTCGAACTCACAGAGATGATCTACCTGCCTCTGCCTACCAAGTGCTGGGATTATAGGGATATGCCACCATTCCTGGCATACTTATTTTTAAAATATAAAAATTTTATTTTTTTTATTTTATTATTTTGTGTGTGTGTGTGTGCGCCCCCGCAGAAGTCAGACAACCTTTGGAACTCAGTTTTTTCTTTCCACCAAGAATTCCAGGGATTAAACTCAGGGGTGGCTTGAGTATATGTGTACAACTTGTGTGTAGGAGACCTCAGAGGTCAAAGGAGGGCATTGAATCCCCCGAAACTTGAGTTATAGGAAGTTGTGAGTTGCCATTGGGTGATGGGAGCTGAATCTTAGTCTTCTGCTAGAGCCGTAAGTGCTCTTTACTACTGAACTATCTCTCAAGCCCCAATTTTTTTATGTTTTATTTTTGAGACAAGATCTCTTGTATCCCAGGCTGGCCTTGACCTTGCTATGTAGCCAAGAATGCTTCTACTGTCTACAGGCATGTACGACCATGCTAGGTTTATGTGGTGCTGGAGATAGAACCCTAGGCTTTATGCATACTTCATATTTCTTATTCTTTTAAGATTCAGTTTTATTTATGTTTGTGTGTATTTATGTGTGATTATGTGCTTTGTCTTTTCAAGTGTCTGCAGAGGGTGAAGAGAGGAACTCTGGGCTCAATGAGAGACCCTGTTTGAAAATAAAATAATGTGGATAGCAATAGAGGAAGGCATTTATTATCAACCTCTGGTCTCCACATACACATGCATGTGTATCCTAATGCATATACACGGACACCAAACTATGCAGACATGTTACATACACTAAATAAAACAACCCTACTAGTTAGGGATGCATAGCCACAAATAAAAACTAAATTTCATTATCAATAAATACCAGTCATTCCTCTTGAATAAGGATAGATGTATTTTGAAAAGGTGCTAGTAGCATTCTGCTTCTTATACCTGGGTTAGTGAGTCCTCTGTGGTTTGGTTTCTAATAATTCAGTTTTATTTTCTTTCAGTTTAAAAAAATTTATTAGGTATGCTGGTTCATGCATGTAATTCTAGCATTTCGGAGGCAGCAACAGGAGTTCAAGGTCATTCTTAGCTATGTAGCAAATTCAAGACCAATCTGGGTTGCATGAGAACTTGTCTGAAAACACCAGAAAAACAAAACAAAACTAAAAGTACTGCCAATGTTGGAAGAGGCATACCATGGAAGTAGGCAAAAGCTACAAATCAAACTTTCCCTCATCTTCACAGAAAACTGGCTTTTAGCATTTACTAGTTTGCTATCATCCTGTTTGCCAATGAAGGGGAGTTAGAGGGACAGAGGAAGGCAAGGGAAGTAAAAATGGCCTCCCTGAGATGGCTGCTTCTTTTTACCAGAAGATATTATGGATAATATTTCGAGGAGAACTATGGGAAGGCTCAGGACCAATAGGGGGAAGGGGAAGACCAGCGTCCCTGCAAAATACCCAAGCCAGCATCCAGCCTTAGGGCTCTCCCATCCAGGAGGGATAAAGCTTTCCTTTTAATTTGTCTTGGTCTTCCCACACATTCAATTTTTTGTCCATGCAAGGCAAGAAACTTGGAAGTCCTCAAGATGACCACAGCAACCCCATTATATACTATATTGCAAAAGAGATCTAAAGAGAAAATACTGACTAAACAAATGTTTACTGAACTGTATCACATAAAATCACATAAAAAAGAGACACTTAGATAAAATTCAGTAAAGATGATCTTTGAGGAAGAGACCGTCAACATTTCATCTTCTGTTGAGAGGTAACACACTGGTTCATTGTTTTGTTGTCATGGTGTTTCAGCGGACATCTTAGCCTCTCTTATCACTAGCTCTTTTACCCTCAGGCATTCTATGTTTTAAAATCCTACAAATTAAAATCAGTTGTTAGAAGTACCACTGAAAATGAGGTAATAAAGTGTAGATTTGAGTGTAGTGAGTATTGAGTAAATTTTGTTGTTACGAATCCTATTTTCTTACTGCAAAGTCTTCCTGAGTTTTTACAGTACTTTTGTTTAAGAGATGTTGTGAAAATGTTAAATTGTATTCTTCTGAAAAATAAAAGATATGGAATATTTAGTTTTGAATAGTTTTTGGTTAACATTTTGTTTTGTTTTTAGGTGATTCCTCCTAAGGAGTGGAAGCCAAGACAGTGCTATGATGATATTGATAATTTGCTTATCCCAGCACCAATTCAGCAGATGGTCACAGGGCAGTCGGGACTGTTTACTCAATACAACATCCAGAAAAAAGCCATGACTGTGAAGGAGTTCAGGCAGCTGGCTAACAGTAGCAAGTGAGTCAATTGAGCTTTTATTTGTATTTCTTCCAAAGAGGTACTTGAGTATGGCAAGAAACCAAGTAGATAGAGACTCTTGTAATACAAAGCAAGAACCTCTTTGGTCATCTCTCTAGTCCTCATCTCTGGTTTCTATTCTTCAAATGATGGCCTACTCACATTCACTTACTTCTAAGGAAATTGTTCCACATTTATTACACATTATTATTATTATTGCAAAATCTAGAAATGGTTCTTTCTTTTAGTTGTCATAAGGTTTGAATTCTCTTTAGCTTTGGGCAAAATTTTATTCATAATTTTGTTAAGACTAAAATTTCATGAGCATTAGTAGTTTCAAAAGAAAACTTTGAATGAATTGGAAGGTATATAGTATATTAGTTATCTATGGATATATAACAAATTCTCAAAATTGGTACCTTAAGCTAGCTCATAATTTGTCAAAGTCTGGAACTTAGAAGTCATAGATGAGTGATTTTAGTTTGGGGGTCTCTTTGAAATTTAATGTTAAAGTGTTGACTGGAAGTGCTGCTGCTTGAGAGCTTGGCTAGATTTTTCCCAGGTGAGAGCCTTCTATGAGGCTAAAGTCCCTGCTGTTTGTGCTTTAAGTGAAATTTTACAAGTCTATAGAAATACAGATATATTACTGTTTTCTACATCAGACACCAGTCTTGCTATCCACTCACACACTTTTTTTTTTTTTTTTTTGCGGGGGGGTGGGTGGGTGGATGGGTGGAAGGAGTTCTCTCTCTCTCTCTCTCTCTCTCTCTGTCTGTTCTGGAACTCACTTTATAGACCAGGCTACCATAGAACTCATAGAGATCATCTTGCTTCTGCCTCCAAGTGCTGGGAGGTGTGTGC